ATTAGTGTCAAAACTGAATAGGACACCCAGTTAATGTTGAAGAATTGGTTGTAGTGTGGAAAAACCATTGATATTTTAAGTGAAAGATGAACTGAGGAAGCAGGGTAACTTAACTGTATTCAGTTCAATAGGTCTTCATAATGTTTTATGATATGAATGTTATAATTAGACACCTTAGAATGTGCTGGTGTTTACGCATGAGTAAACATTTTAAAGCCAACAGAAAAGTTAGGGTAAGTGGCAACTGCATCTATTGTTTATTTATAAAGTTACACTAGGCTCTTTTTTTTTTTTTTTTTTGAGACAGTCTTACTTTGTCACCCTTGGTAGAGTGCTGTTACATCAGCTCTTGGGCTCAGGTAATTCTCTTGCCTCAGCCTCCTGAGTAGCTGGGACTACAGGTGCTAGCAACAAACACCCAGCTATTTTTTTGTTGCAGTTTGGCTGAGGCCAGGTTTGAACCCACCACCCTGGGTGTATGGGTCCAGCACCCTGCTCATTGAGCCACAGGTGCCGCCCAGTAGGCTCATTTGTTAATCAATACATTTTATCCTCAACTGAAACTTACCTGCTTTTGTTTGATCTTGCTTAACAAGAGTTGTTCCTAATGTATGAAGATAATTTTCACAACTTTTTCTCACAAATTTTCATGTATTTTAAAAACTAATGTTCATAAAATTGACCACATAGCTCTAAAATCCTTAAGAGCTCTAAAATTTAAGCCAGATGTACTTGTAGTGGCAGCTACTTGGGAGGCTAAGGCAGGAGGACTTCCTGAGCCCAGGAGTTAAAGTCCAGTCTGGGCAACAGATTCTGTCTCCAAATTAAAAAAGCTCTAAAAATTTGAAATCTAAATGATACAGAAAAAACCAGAGAACTACATAATTTAAAAGAAGGTAACTGTATCCTTGCCTAAGAAGGAAATAAGAGTTTAGAAAAGTTTAGAAAACTTTTTATTAAATTTAACAAGTTTCTGAAAACATAACCAATGCCAATATGAATGAGGGGATTTAATAAACAGAAATGTATAAGGTATCAACAACAAAATCTTTTTTGTGATCAAACAAGTTTGGCAGAACCATATAATTATGGTTATAAATAGAATTTCCAAGTTCTGCATTTTGGGGAACGATTAGTGCAAAGTGACTTACTGCAAATAATCTTTAGTTAGCTTATTTATGAATACAAAAAAAGAGTTCCATATATTACATAAGCCAATCCTACTTCCAATAAATATTAATGAGATTCAAATATACTAACATTTCAAACAAATAATTACTTAAACTTCTCTACATACTTACCTGTATCAGGAACATCAGTAGGTCTCATAATTCTCCGAATCTGCTCCATAGACTGCAGGTCTGGTGACAGTCCTATAAATAAAAAGATGAGACACAGTCTCAACATCTAAAAAATTTTAATAAAAAAGCTATTAATCTAAACAGATTCACTGTGTGAAATTAAGATACTTAAAAGTGGCTGAGTGTTGTGGCCCATGCCTATAATCCTAGCACTCTGAGAGGCTAAGGCGGGTGGACTGCCTAAGCTTAGAAGTTCAAGACCAGCCTGAACAAAAGTGAGACCCTATTCTCTACTAATAGAAAAACTAGCTGGGCCAGGTATGGTGGCTCACGCCTGTAATCCTAGCAGTCTGGAAGGTCAAGGGGGGGTGGACTGCCCTGAGCTCAGAGGTTCCAGATCAGCCTGAGCTAGAGTGAGAGCCCCATCTCACAAAAATAAAAATAAGAAAAATTTTAAAAAAAGCCGGGCATTGTGGCAGGCACCTATAGTCCCGGCTACTTGGGATCATTTAAGCCCAAGAGTTGGAGGTTGCTGTGAGATATGATGCCATGGCACTCTACTGAGGGCCACTAAGTGAGACTCTATCTCAATAAAAAAATAAATAAATAAAAGAAAAAAAATAATAAAAAAAAA